TTAGGGCTGGTATTGACGAAAGCACATTTCTGGGGGTAACCTTTATCGTTGTTTTGGGAGGTGCAGTAATACAGTGGCAAGTATGCTTAAAGTCAAAAGTCATGTGTTTGAATCCTGCTAATCATAGTATTCGTAAAAAAAAAAACTGTTTGTCTCCTTTAACCAGCTTCTATGGGTAAGTGTCGGTTTTATTGAGACTGCGTTTCTTTAACTGGGCTGGTTTCCGGTACACTCCAATTTATTTTTCGTTGCGGCTTGTTATCATGTCTGGGTTTCGTCGTATTTGTGCTAACATCTGCAACCTGTGTCTGAGCTGCTTTATGATGTTTTTTTTTTTTTTTTGCTGGTTGTCAAGCCCACCGTCACTGCTTCCAGATGGTTTGGATCCTCATCATGGCAGGGATTTTTACAATGTTGGCTGGATTCTCAGTCAACCAGGACTAGAGAAAACCAACACAAAATATATTCCAACTGAGTTGAGCGAACTGGGCCAGCGGCCTGACTCAGTAGTGCCGAAGAACTCATTTGATGATGTCTTGATGTTTTATTTGTCATGCTAAAACTGGTGTAAGGATGATAGGTCAGCTATCCACTATTGAAAGAGGGTGTACTTTCACTTGACCTTTTAGGCTGATATGGTTGCACTTAGTGGCAAGAACTTTACAAGAAAATGTAAACCTTGAAGCATTCTTATAGAAAGGAAATGGTGGGATGAAAGAAAAAAAATCAGTTTTGCAGGGATTTAGGGACTGAAGCAAACAAGCTATGTTACTGGGTCAGGGTCAGTGAGTCATAAGCAAATCCCAGTTCCAAGTGGTGGTCCTGCTTGTAGGCTACAACACTGCAGTTTTCCACACCAAAAGACCTATCCATGGACTACAGGTTAATTTGTAACCATTTTGTGGTGCCCTAAAAACTGTGCTATACATCTGTCGATACCTGTGGCTTAAGTGTTGCGAATGCACTTAATAATTCTGCGGTGCCGAGCTCAATCCCAGCTACGGGCAGTTTGGCAGCAGACCACCTTGTGTTGGTGTCACCAGTGATGTCACGAGCTGACCATTCAGCAAGGAGTGGCAAACTACTGAACATAAAATTGCAAGGTGAAATCTCAAATGGCCAAAAAATGCTGAGGTTGTTTCTGCGATGACCTGTAAAGGATACACAACTAAAAAATTGTTGTTGTTATTGAGCGTTTTAATGGTGTTTCTGTTATCTGTGCCTGTTTGATTCTCATTTGTGAGATGTTAATCCTACAGACTGGAATCCTGAAGAGAAAAACTTAAAATAAAAATAAAAAAAACCCACTGCAGTCAGGCCCAGAGAGTTATGATTCAAGAAGGGAAGCACCTCTGATTCACTGAAATGAACTTGCTGGTTTTTGTGTGCAAGTACAGCTGCAGCTGGCCTGAATTTCAAGCCATGATGTAATGTTTTGTAATCCTCAGTCGCAGCCAGTCTCCAGATCTGTTAATTATAGGGAAGACTCCACCACAGATGGCGCCGCTAGTCACCCCAATGCCTGTAAGTTTACTTCTAATACAGTTGTGAGTTTTTACATAGGGTGTTTATTATAGTTGGTGTCACCTGTGTAGGTTTAATCCGCAACTCTAGGATCTAACTAGCATAGCAAAAAAGGTAACTAATTAAAAGTTTTCTGAAATTGGATGTGTTGGGTTGAAAGGCACAAATATCAGTCTAGCTGTAAATCACAGCATATCTGCCGCTCTTTTGAGGGCAAAGGCAGAAGAAGATTAACTTTGTCACCTTGTATTGTTCATGTTGATTACAGTATTTCTGAGTTGCTATCTCTTGGCAGCCCAATGCCATTGTCATAAAGTTGCAGGTCATCTACAGCTCTTCCATGGATACAGTATGTCAGTTAGTAATGGCTGCAGTAACTTGTCTCTGATGTGTGAAAGTACAGTGTGTTTCATTAGAGTGTGAACAGTGGTGTCTCCACATGAATACTCTCACATACTGCTTGTCTGTATTGAGAGCTTGGAAGAATAACCATAGACTGACAAGGATACACTTAGCAAACACAATGCAACAGTCATTGTTTCTAGAAGTTCAAAAAAAGAAAAGAAAAGAAAGCAACCAGCTGTGTATGTTTTATTAAGTAAATTCCCATATAATCCTCCCTTACACAACTAGGGCCACTCTGTAAAACATTTATTGTTGTGTTTCAAAACTGTTTGCCTATTCCCTTCCATTTTCATTAACATAATCCGAAAATGTTAATCTCATGACATTTCATTTCCTTGGCCATGTGTCCTGTCTTTCCCAATTCATATATAGTTCAGTCATTTCATATGCCACTTCTGGAGAGACTCCTAGGTCAGCAGAGAAGGTAATTTGGTGATCTAGAATCCTCATGGCTTTTTTTTTTAACAACATGTGCTACTTTTGGAGAAGACCATCCCTTATTTTTGGTTGGCTGAATTAAGTTTCTTTTCTTTTCTTTAGACCTGTTTTGTTATTGTATGGATTTTGCAGCTCATTTTCTATGAGGCCTGGTAGCCAGTCAAACACACACACACACACTTTCTTAGGCATTCATCCAGTCGCATGCCAACCATCTGTAGTCACCTGTTAGGCATGTATCCAGTCACATGTTAACCATCTGTAGTCCGCTGTTAGGCATGCATCCAGCCACATGTTAACCATCTTTAGTCAGCTATTAGGCATGCATCCAGCCACATGTTAACCATCTGAAGTCAGCTGTTAGGCATGCATCCAGTCACATGTTAACCATCTGTAGTCAGCTGTTAGGCATGCATCCAGTCACATGTTAACCATCTTTAGTCAGCTGTTAGGCATGTATCCAGTCACATGTTAACCATCTGTAGTCAGCTGTTAGGCATGCATCCAGTCACATGTTAACCATCTGTAGTCAGCTGTTAGGCATGCATCCAGTCACATGTTAACCAACTGTAGTCAGCTGTTAGGTATGCATCCAGTCACATGCCATCCATCTGTAGTCACCTCTTAGGCATGCATAAGTACTCCATCCTTATCTTCAACAGCAAAAGAGTTCCAATTCCGAAGGTGCCAGTAGAAGTGTGATTTTATGTCCCCTGTTTTCTGAGTGTAGAATGTCGACCAGTTCCCCTAGCCACTCCTGGTGTAAAGTGCTCTCTATACTCGAAATGGCCTTGACCACATCTAGCTTGGCGTGCATAAATTCACCACCCATCGGTGCAGAACCAGCAAGTCTGTCTGCCTATTTATTTCCGAAAACTCCTCTTTTACCTGGAGAAAATATATATTAAAGGCTAAATATATTAAACGCTGACTACCCGGGAACTCTGAAGAGATGAGGAAGCCAATATCATGCCAGCCTTTCATGGTTGCCTCTTATGACATGCAGTGCATTTATATTACTACATTTATTTTAACAGTTAAAATTAGCTGTGCTGTTTTCAATATTTTCAGCAACCAGTGGCTAGTGTGAATAAGGGTGCTCCTGGTATCAGAATAGCTCTCACGAACAAAGTTGCCCCCACAACGACACCACCACCTGGTTAGTATTTGCTGTATGTTTGTAACCATAACTTTATTACAAAATAATAAACAGGCGGCTAATGTTACATCTTCTTGTGAATAGGCATCACTAGTATATCATGTTTTTGTAGATAGAACAGTTGCCAGAATGGGATACTGTTGTAGGCAGGTCGTTCACTAGTGTCATTTTTTTGGCAGGTCATTTACTGATGTATCATTTTTTTGACAGACCAGTTCCTAGTGTGTCAAGCTCTTGAAACCAGACCAAATATTAGTTATCTTGTTCTTGTAGACAGACTGGTAGCAAGTGTATCATGTTTGTGACTGGTGTTTCACTTACTTGTAGACAGGTAATTCACAAGTATATCATGTTCTTGAGGACAGATCATTTACTAGTGTATGATATTCTTGCAGTCAGTTTATTGACTAGTGTATATTGTTTTGTTGACAGGGCATTGTAATCATGTTCTTGTAGATATCTTATTTACTAGTATACCTTGTCATCATCAACTGGGATTTTAATGCAAGAATAGGACACTGGAAAGGAGCAGAAAAATACACAGGAAAATTTGGAGATAACATTGATCAGAAAAACTAAAATGGATGCAGGCTCCTTGAGCTATGTTATCAGCAGGATTGATTCTACACTTGTTCCAGTACCGGCAGTCTCACATATGTATGTGGTATAAATGGAATGATCTGAACTGTAAAAGTCAAATAAACTGTATACACTAACTAAGAGAAACATGAGAAGAACGGTAATAGACAATGGCCAGGCAATCATAGCACCTTTAGCAGTACAACTAAAAGAACATAACAGACTTCACTCAGAATGTGACAACTGTGATATGAAGATCAATGTAGACAAAACAGAAGTGTTGACTCGTGGAATGTCTGGCTGCATCAGGGCAGAAAGAGATCGCTGTAACCGGCACTTCTGTTCGCTTCGCATAAAGTATTTTCAGTGTCTCTGATATTTCTGCGGTCCACATTCTGCGTGTTTAACCACTAGACTGTATACACGCAGAATGTGGACCGCAGAAATATCAGAGACACTGAAAATACTTTATGCGAAGCGAACAGAAGTGCCGGTTACAGCGATCTCTTTCTGCCCTAATGCAGCCAGACATTCCACGAGTAGAGACCAAAAGAAGAAGTACCTTATAAACCAATCTGTACTTGTTTTACTGCAGCTTTGCTCTTGTGACTGACTGACTGACTGACCTCATATCCACCACACAAATGGATTTCCTCTTCTTCTCACGGGCAAGAAGTCCACTTGGCGAAAGAAATGAAAATGTTTTGCCACTGTTTGTAAAAATTGAATAAAGTAATCAACATCATACCAGTTACTCTAACTTTTCAGAATATTTCTGGTACGCTTTAGGCTGGGTTGACCCTGAAGCCAAGGTCATGTATAAAAATGTACATTGACATGGATTCTTACTCAAGATATTTTGTCATTAACACACACACACAAAATTCATCTACAGTCACGTTAGTTCAGGGGACACATGGCCTGGGTGTAAAACTGCCAACAGGATGGCAGATGGTGCCTGTGACAACATCAGCAACTCCTGCAGCTAAGGATTCAGCTATAGCTCAAGCACTTGCAAGAAATGCCTCCCCCAAGTCTGTGCCTTCACTGAAGACAAGAGTGCAGTCAGAAGTTGTGACACCTGTTAGGTAAGTTGCCATAGTGTGTTGTCGACTCATTGATGCAGTTTGATTGTAAAGGTGCCTGCTGGCAATTTGTAAAGGGGAAACACAACCCACACACACCCAGATGGGGCCTCGGAACCAGTGGCCTATTAAGGTCAGGGGGGAGCCAGTGCAGAAATTTTTCTTTTACTCTCTTCCCCCGATATATATATATATTTATATAAACAAATTTTAATACGTTGAAGGCAACATCCTTCCAAATGAGGACAGCCCCTCATATCCCTTAAATTTGGGAGTCAAGTTCAACAAAAGACTAACCTTGGGCACTGACACTGAGGACACACAAAGAAAGCTACCTTGTGGCTCAGACTTACAAAGAAACTCACTAGAACAAGCTGGGGTATAAATATCAACACAGTACGACAAGTATACAACCAAAACGAGTATGGCGTTGGAACATATTGCACTTCAGCCAAATCAGATCTGAACAAATTGGACAAAATACGGAACACTGGTTTCAGAATCATCACTGGAGGTATGAGAAGCCCACCCATCAATGAGCTGGAGGCAACGTCTGGCCTCCAGAGCTTGAGCCACTGAAGGAAAAAAAAAGGTGCTTACCCTAAAGAAAAATTAAAACATACGAACAACACCATGCACGGAATAGCAAATAACCATTAAAAAAACTGACTGACAAGACAAAGCTTCCACCATCTATCAAAATTTTGTGCGCCAAAAGCAGTGACATCCTTTCTGACGACCCTTTGACGGGGGATATGATGCAGGCATACAACATAGACCTACAGCCTAACTATACAGCCACTGCAACAATCCCAGACAAAAAGGCTGAAGAATGGGAACTATTACTGCATGCAAAGACCCTTGAACATGTCTACAACTCTTACATAAAACCCGAATTTACACACGTATACACCGATGGATCATAAAAGGGAGCAAAAACAAAAATGAGGTGCTGCTTCAGTCATCATACTGCAACATGGGACCAAAGTGAAAACGTCGTGTGCTTCTGGGAAACTCAACAAACTTCAGAGCAGAGCAGCAGGCAATTAAATTATTGATTTAACAAAAGTGCTTGAGCCAAGAAAAATTAAAAACAGCAATGTTTTTTCCTGTATGACTGCATATCAATCCTCCAGGCGACAGAGAGCGCCACACTTATCAAGGGAAGATACAAGGAATTATGCAGAGAACAAATCAACAGTAAGCATTCACAAGACCCCTTCAGCAGACTCAACAGAAAGCAACATACAATTTTCCAACTAAGAACACGGCAACTGCAGGCTCAACTACCAAATGCATATAATAAAGACTTCAGCCCATTGGCAGGACCACACACACATCTGAGTACATTCTGCAGACCTGCCCACTCTACCTACAAGTACGAAAAGAAACCTAGCCTCAAGAGAAAAGTGCAGAGCAAGCTATGGGGAACCATAAAGGACATGCAGCTGACATGCGAGTTCATGAAGGCAGCCTACCTGACAGTCTGATCTGAGCCTACGAAACCGAACGCAGAGAAGAAGAAAAAAAAGCACATATTCCCAGTGTGGGTTCTGGGGCCCCATTATGATGCAAACAAGAACAGATCCACTTCTTCCCCAACACGCAAGTTGTAGGAGTTGACTCATTGGGGGCCGCAGATTATTTAACCATATTCAGACAATCAGGTGCCATCTCCCTAATGAAGGCTGTCTGCAGTTGATCTCCAGCATTCTAGGCAAAGAGGGAAACGAGAAAAGAGAGGTAAAGACAGCTCACTCAGCACAGCTTTTCCTGGATGTACACTGTTTAATACTGGTGTTCAACCATCTCTTGTTATCCTCCCACTTGTATCACTGTCTGAATTTTGCTCACCTGCCTTCAACCTTTCTCTCCAGTATGATTTTTTTAAAAACTGTTTTATATTTTTCATATGGTCGAAATATGTCACTTGTCTTTTTTATTTCATTCAGCAACTCTCTTATCATGCCTAGTCTTTTCAGAATATTTTCTCTCTATGTGAATTTTTGTGTGTGAAACCTCTCTATGCGATTGTTTTTGTGAAACTACATATATACCTACAGATACCTGAGTTCATAAATTGAACATAACATTTTTGTGAAAGCATATCAAACACATACAGATACCTGAGCACATAAACTGAACATAACATTTTTGTGGAAACATATCAAACACATACAGATACCTGAGCACATAAATTGAACATAATGTTTGCAGGCCAGTACAGCAGCCCCAGCAGATGCAGTCCAAGTTGGATCAAGAAGCTCAGAAGAAGAAGTTCAAGAAGCAAACTCTACCAGAGGAAGATGAAAGTGGTGAGTATGAGATAACAGTATATAGACACCTGGCAGTATTACTGTGACACTTCTTATTTTCACTCTTGAAAGGGCAGTTGGCACATTGTGTTATTGTTTACAGCTAGGCTGCGATATCTGCACCTTTCAGTCCAACACACTTGATTTCAGCAAGTTCCCTTATAAGTCAAGTCACACTTAAGAGCATGCCTGTTAAAGGGCAGTGGGTCGGTTCTTTTGTGCCTCAAAAATAGGGCTCTGAAACATGCACAGGGTACAGTGACATTACTCAGTGGTTTTCAGCATAAGTAATTTGACAGCTGATGTCTCATTTTTTTGTTTCCTGTGCCATTCGTTATCATGTTGGTTTGTCAGCTCTGCCAGTATGTTGATTCTAATTTCAGATACAGACATTACCCATGTGAGACTGTGTCACTTGGTACATGCCCATATGCGCTCCTTGTGCTTCAGAAGATGTGGAAGGGTATCGATACTCGTAGTTCCACTGGTTAGTTGGTTGTATGTACTTCTCCCTCTACCACACATGTAGTTTGCTTTTCCTGCAACAGTTGAGCATTTACAGACAGTTTGATGTCTCCCTTGCTCAGCATGAATGTTCCAGCTAGGTGCCAGCTGATTTACTCTGTAATTTCCACAGATCTCCTGTCAGTAGAGTCACTGCAGCTCTTGTAGGTGTGTTGATTCAGTGTGTTTATGCCAGAATTATAAAAGATGCCAGAAATATTAAAAGTTCCCTTCTGCCTTATTGAAAAAAAAACAGGTTCTACATATGGGTTCTGGGGTTGCATTTAGGAAAACAAAGATACTTTTTGTCCCCCTTACAAGCATGCTGTAGGAGGCCACTGTAACGTGTGTTTCCTTCAGAGTCGGAATGCATCTGCTTAAGATTATTGCCAGTTCGTTACCTTCAGTGTTTGCATCATTTTTTTAAGCATCTCCCTATGGGTGCTGACAATCTGTCTGTTTAGTTTTTTTTAATCATTTCAGCAATTACATTGAGTTGAGAAAATGTTTCAGTGTGTACTTCATATTTCTTACTGTCTATGTGCTGCTTTACAGTCATGCCTGTTTGTTTCAATAACCACACAGGTAACTGGGTGCCGCTGGATGAGTATTACTATGGGAAGATGGAAGGTGACCCCACGTATCAGGAAGCTAAAGGAGAACACAGATTTAAAGTGAGTACTGTGAGATACATACACATATGTAAACCTGCACGTTGAAGATGTGTACAATATGGACTTGCAGACAATAGAAATGTCAGGGGGTAGAGCTTAGATTGTGTTGCAAATACCTACAGGAAGGCGACAATAGATTGCTACAAGGAGCTGGCTTCTTCTTCTTCTGCCTTTATCCCCCAGTGGAGCATAGGCACTTAACCAACTCAGTCGGAGTTGCTATGGCATGCAACTTCCCACTTGTCCTCCCTGTCTTTTTTTAACTTCCCTCCCTAGTTCCTTTCTCCATGTGTTTTTGGTCTGCTTTATTTTTATGTCCCCATGGGTCACACTGTAAAGCCTTTCTATTTATATTGCCCACACATTTTCTCAATGTGCGTCCTATCCAGCACCAGTGTCTTTTCATCACCTATTAATTCTCTGGAAATGTTTAGTTCTGTCCCAAAGCTCAGTATGAGTGATTCTATCACACAACATTTAATTCCCTCAATTCTTTGCAAGCAACGATTAATAAATTTTTTTAGGTTTATTAGTCTTCTTCTTTCTTCAGATCCATGTGATTTGTCCATGCTGTCAACATTTTGTGAGAATAAATGCTCCAGAGACTTCTTCTTCTTTTGTCAAAATCTGCTTGTGCCGCTAGGCGTCGCAGTCTATCAGATGATCGGCAACCGAGCCAGGGCGCGCTCAGTCGCTTCATATGCCGTGATGTTATGAAGTCTCAAGTTGTCCGTGACTCCTTCAATCCATCTTCTTCTTGGTCTTCCCCTGCCTCTTGTTGTTTCGATTTTCATGTTGTATGCTCTTGATGCTGGCATCGTTGGTTCCATTCTCATTAGGTGACCAAACCATTTCATTCTTTGCTTCTCAATAAATTTAACGATGGGTATGGTTCCAATAGTTCTTGTAATCACATCGTTTCTCACTCGATCTCTTCTGGTTTTATTCGCAGCCATTCTCAAACATCTCATTTCACAGGTGGCTAGTCTTCTCTCATGTTCTTTTGTTAATGTCCAAGTCTGACATTGATAACCTAATGTCGGTATAAAGATTGTATTTATAATTTGTCTTTTTATCTCAGCTGGGACAGCAGGGTGTTTAAAAATTGGGGCAAGCTGGTATGCGACATTGTTGGCTTGTTGGATTCTTGCTTCAATCTCTCTGTCTATTTTACCATTGGATGTAAAGATACTTTCCAGGTATTTAAATTCTTGCACTTGTTTTAGGCTGTGATCTAGAATCTTTATGTCGATGGTCTGTTGCTCTCTACTTATGCTCATGACTTCTGTCTTTTCAGTATTGATCTTCATATGATGCTTGAGGCAACTGTCGTGTAGTAGGTTCATGTGGTCTTGCAGCTGTTTACTATCACTGTGAAATATGCATTGATCGTCGGCAAAGAGCAGCTCATTGAAGTCCTCCTGTTTATCGACATCTGTTGGTGTTATGTCTATTTTATTAATATTGTCCATAAATATTATGAAAAGTAAAGGTGATAATACACAACCTTGTCTTACTCCTGATGTTACTGCGAACCAGTCTGTGATGTCAGCTCTTGTTCTAATGGCGCTTTCACTTTGTCTATAAATAGCCCTAACACAATCTAAAATTGTTCCATTTATACCGTAGTTTTCAAGAACTTTCCATAATAAATTTCTGTTTACTCTATCGAAAGCTTTTTCTTGATCTATGAAAGCGATGTTCATTTGATGTCTGTGTTCTATTGACTTTTCGCTAACTTGTCTTAAAGCAAAAATAGCGTCAGTACACCCTCTTCCTTTTCTAAATCCGACCTGGGATGGGCTCAGGATCGGTTCTACAACGGATCTAATTCGTTGTTCCAGAATTTTGGCAAACATTTTTCCTACGTGGCTTAGAAGGGAGATGCCTCTGTAATTGTTACAATCTTGCTTATTGCCTTTTCTTTTCCAAATTGGGACTATAAGAGCTCTTTGCCAGTCTATTGGTACAGTTCTTTCATTCCAGGCTTTCCTAAATATGTGGAGTAGCCAGGTGACTCCAATTTCTCCACAAGCCTGTATTGCCTCGGCTGATATTCCATCAACACCTGATGCCTTATTTTTGGGACTGCATCTGATTGCTTCTCTGACTTCTTGTTCGATTATTGTAGGCTGTTCCTCGTTTGTACATCTGGGTGTGAATGGTACTGTTTCCTCATTTCCTGTTACATTCAGAAGAGTCTGAAAATATTCTTTCCACCTTTCTCTGATCTTGCCCTCCTCATGTATGGGTTTGCCTTGACTATCATTGACATATTCAGATGGCTGGAATTGTTCATCTCTAGTCCTCATTTTTGCAATGGTTTTGTAAAACTGTCTACTAGATTTAGCACAGATTTTGGTAAGATTTTCCCCATACATGATCCAGGATGTTTCCTTGGATTGTTTAATTTCTCTTGCAGATTGTCGCCTGGCAATTCTGTACTTGATATAATCGTCATCTGAGCGGGATCTTAGCCATTTCTTGTATTGCTCCTTTTTACATTTCACTGCTTGTTTTACGTTATCATTCCACCATGCTGTTTTTTTCCTGAACGTTCCTCCTGTGTATCTAATACCACAGAGTGTTGTTAGGCAGTTCAGAAGAGTGTTCTTAAATTTTTGCCACGCAGCTTCCACATTGTCACTTGATGTTATTAGCTCAGCCATCTTCGCCGTCATTTCTGCCTGTACTTTTGCTTGGTTGTCTAGATTGCTTAAGTGTCTTATGTCAATCATTGAGGTACGTACTGATGTTTTTGGTTTTTTGTTAATTGTTGCTTCGCTTAGATATACGATCAGCGGTCGATGGTCTGTATTTAAAGAGATGTTAGGAATTACTCTTGCGTCTTTTACTAAGCTTCTTCTCTTTTGTCGATTTAGTATGTAGTCCAACTGTGCGGCCTGGTCTGGGTTGCTCCATTTATACCAGGTATTTATTTGGCTTTGTCGATGCTGATAGAAACTATTGGTGACATAAAGGCCATGCTCTGCACAAAGTTCTAAAATACGCTGCCCGTTGTAATTGCAGACTTTGCTGTTGTCTGAGTGTGGCCCGATATATTCCTCCCACGGTGTTCGCCTCTGCCCTATATGCCCATTTAGGTCACCTATTACCATAAGATCATCATTTGCGTGTATCTGACTGATGACATCCGACACTGAGTCAAAGAAGTTATCTTTCTCTTCCAAGGTGTAACCATCATTGGTGGGTGCGTATACCTGCACAGTGCTTGTATTTCTTGTTTTCCCGTAGAGTTGCAACACTATAATCCTTTCAGATACATATTCTATATTCTTTACATGTTTAGCGATATCCGGATGGAGAATAAAACCGACTCCGTGAGTCGCTCTCTGCTCTTTCTTAACGCTGCTCCAAAATATGACATAGTTGTTATGAATTTCTTTTGTTATGTTGCCTTTTTTCCTGCAATCTGATATTCCCATTATATCGATCTTATGTTTCATCATGAACTCTACTATTTCTGGTTCTTTATTGCTCCAGAGACACATTCACAAAATAATACTCCAATATTTAGATCACAACGAACTTATTGTTGACAACCAGTCAGGGTTTCGACCAAAATATTCTTGTCATACTGCCTTAGCAAATATGATAGAAAACTGGCATCAGAATATTAACGAAGATAAGATATGTGGTGCAGTGTTTATAGACTTTAAAAAGGCCTTTGACATGATAGACCACACTATTCTTATCCGAAAGCTGGTAACAATGAAAGTGAGTTCCAACCTATTAACAATGCTAACATCTTTTTTATTCAACAGAAAACAAATTGTTTCACATAATAAATCCATATCACAGACTATTGCTTTAAATACTGGAGTTCCGCAGGGTTCTATTCTTGGCCCCCTTCTATTTGCAATTTACATAAACGATCTGCCCTTAAGTCTGTCGTCGTCGTGCGATTTATTCGCTGATGACTGTACCATCTATACAAATACTTGTAATATACTAGAGTTGTCTTTGCAACAAGAATTAAACAATGTAGTTAGTTGGAGCTACGCAAACCGCATGCAAATCAACATAAGTAAGACAAAATCAATGTTAATAACAACAAGACACAAACTGTGCACTTTAAACTCTCATAGAACCCCTTCATCTCTACCTAGGTAACACACCAGTAGAAAGTGTAACCGAGCATAAAACTTTAGGCCTGATCATCGATGGAAATCTTACCTTCAACTCCCATGTGCAAACACTTGTTAAGCAAACTGCTACAAAGGTATACCAACCAGCAAAAATTAAAAACTTTCTGGATGAAAACACTAAGAAATTATTCTATACTTCTCATATTCAGACTCACATAGACTATTGCTCCACAATATGGGATGGATGTGCAAATTCAGTCATCAAACGACTGAAAGCACTCCACAGAAGGGCTGTTCATTTAATAGCTAATAGTCATGGAAGTGACTGTTCGCACCTATATAAAGAACTCTTGCTATTTCCGCTCCAGGAATGCCTACTATTCAATAAAGCTAAACTTATTAATAAAATCATATCTAAAAATGCTCCATGTTACCTTTGGCCATTATTTAAATACAGTGGAAGACATAGCAAACGCCTTAACATATTGCATATCTCTAGACCTAGAATAGACCTATACAAAACAAGCATGTTGTACTCTGCAGCTCAGCTGTGGAATCATCTTAAACCGGAAATAAAAAATATCAATAACCCCTATACATACAATCGGAAACTATTTAAATATTATCTCACTACAGACTATATGCCCCCTTAAAAGATTATAGAATGTTAAGGCTATGATGTATTTCCATGAGATGTCTAATTAAATTTGGGGGGTTATTATTTTTTAAAACTGAGATGCCAGTCGAACGCATTCCAATGTTTGTAACTAATATTTAATTGGTTTTGATGATGATTATATTATGCAACCTGTAAGACTTACATAATTTTTAGATTAGGCTTATTATTATACTCTTTAAAACGTTCAAGTAATGTCAGTATAAATTAGAGCACATTCCAGCATTTGTAATTAAGACTTAGATATTGTAATTTTTTTTTCTTTTCCATAATTCTTAAATTTTTAATTTTGTATTCCTCTTTTTATTATTAATATTATTGCTTTTATTATTATTATTATTAACTATGAAATGAGGTACAAATGAAAAATTGTATGAAAGGAGCGGAGTGGAAGGGCAGAATGTTAGTCGGGCCTGTGTGCCCAATTCTTAACCCTTTAAAAATATAGTTTGTTTGTTCGTTCGTTCACGTTCACTGGTTTGTAAACTTCTGTAGCAAGTTTTGATTGTTCGTCCGCTCCTTCTCCAGTCCCCCCCCCCCCCCCCCCCAATTATACTCGGAAGCCCCAAAAAGGGTGGCTCCTAGAATTCACTCGGGGATGTCTGTTTATATTAGTGATTGCCTAAGTTGTGGGAGGTTTTCTGGATGTTTTGTCTGTTTTCCTTGGATAACATTGTCAAAGTAAGGATAATTGTAATGTTAATAACTGACATGTGGTTATTTTTGTCAGTGCTGGTACTGTAACAAGATGCTGTACAACAACGTAGCAGCCATGATGCACATCCAGGGTCATATAGACTCAGAGCGACAAGTCAACCTTGACCTCAGTGACCTGACACAGTGCAAACATTGCTACAAGCAGTTTGATACCCCATTTGAAATGCAGACACACATAGAAAAGGTAAGGCCAGCTTGTGATTTAACTGACAGTCTGACAATTTGTGTGTAGTATGAATTTAGTCAAAGACAGGTCACCAGTAGATTTAAACTGAAAGATGCCAAGGAAACCGTCTTTCAGAAAAAGAAGAAGAAGATAAAAACAGCAAGCCATAGTACCTCAGGGGTGTGATAAAAATATAATTAACTGTATTTGAGTATATAACAAAACAAAACAAAAAACCAACCAAAAAACTAAACTAAACACAGGATGTCTAGGAAGCTCAACGGTGGGGAAGGAAAGACATACACAGATACAACCAAAGATATCAGCCAAAGTCTTTATCAGTGAAAAAGACAAGAATCCCTCACTACAAAAATGAGTGGTTACAGTCACATGGAAGAAAGTTGCAAAATAGAAACAATTTTTTTGCATTTTTAGTTGTTTTTGCCTGTTAGTCATTAGTTGGAGTTGCAACATCACCTCTGATGGGTCGGCCTATAACTGCTGCGTTGAGGTTCCAGCATCACCTCTGATGGGTCGGCCTATAACTGCTGCGTTGAGGTTCCAGCATCACCTCTGATGGGTCGGCCTATAACTGCTGCGTTGAGGTTCCAGCATCACCTCTGATGGGTCGGCCTATAACTGCTGCGTTGAGGTTCCCAGCATCACCTCTGATGGGTCGGCCTATAACTGCTGCGTTGAGGTTCCAGCATCACCTCTGATGGGTCGGCCTATAACTGCTGCGTTGAGGTTCCAGCATCACCTCTGATGGGTCGGCCTATAACTGCTGCGTTGAGGTTCCAGCATAACCTCTGATGGGTCGGCCTATAACTGCTGCGTTGGGGTTTCAGCATCACCTCTGATTGGTCTGCCTATAACTGCTGCGTTCCGTTGCCAGTGGAAATCGCAAAAAATATCATTGACTGTCCCATTGAAAAACTAAATCTTGAAGCTTTCTCCTGCACAGTAAAAATGCTTAAGGCAGCTGCCACATCAGCTTGCACACTAACTACCCTGTTACGGCATCTGTAATATTTTAAATAAACACTAAATAACATAAATAATATAAATTTTTTTGCTGTTTCAATATTTTCATAAACAGTTTGTCCTCATGTTTCCCTGCAACTGTCAAAATTTGCAGGTTCACATGAACAATGCCAATGTCCTTCTGTGTCGCATTTGTGAGAGGAATCATGACAGCCGGCAGGCTTTAAAGGAGCACATGAGGAAGAGCCACAATGCCTGCGAGATGCCTTATATATGTCAGCTGTGTAAATTCAGGTCCTCCATGTACAGCGATGTTGTCGATCACTTCAAAAAGGTAAGAGGGGAATGTTCTAGATACAGACAGTCTGTGTGCGTGTGAAACTATTGAATCTAGTGTTACTGTTAATCCTGTCGACCCAAAAAGGCCAATTTTCCGACTTTTACGGGTTTTTGATGACAGTGAAAGTGTCTTAAAGCCAGTGGCCAATGTGCCTGTAAAACAGCTATGGTGGTACTGGTTACAACAGCATAATGTTCCTCGGTTAGTGTCTCTCATTAGCTGTCTCTTGGTAGCTGTCTCACGGTAGCTGTCTCTCGGTGGCTGTCTCTCGGTAGCTGTCTCTCTCGGTAGATGTCTCTCGGTAGATGTCTCTCGGTAGATGTCTTTTGGTAGCTGTCTCTCCGTAGCTGTCTCTCCGTAGCTGTCTCTCAGTAGCTGTCTCTCTGTAGCTGTCTCTCTGTAGCTGTCTCTCTGTAGCTGTCTCTCAGTAGCTGTCTCTCTGTAGCTGTCTCTCAGTAGCTGTCTCTCAGTAGTTGTCTCTCTGTAGCTGTCTCTCAGTAGCTGTCTCTCTGTAGCTGTCTCTCAGTAGCTGTCTCTCTGTAGCTGTCTCTCTGTAGCTGTCTCTCTGTAGCTGTCTCTCAGTAGCTGTCTCTCCGTTGCTGTCTCTTGGTAGCTGTCAACAAAACCACTTTTTCTTGGTCAGAGGGAAGGAAAGCATTTATTTAGTTAGTCCGTTTGTGTTTATTAATACTTTCCTTCAGATTTAAAAAACAAAACAAAAAACAACCCTTATGCAAAATGATGGCTCTAAAGTAGGGAAAATATTTTATCTTTTTTAGTGATTTGGAACCGCACTGATGAAGAAGCTAACAGGCTTTGCTGTCTGCTTTGTGGTCATAGGGTTTAAACAACACTCCCCCTCTCCCACCCAGTTTTGTGTAAAATTTGATCAATCTAAACTTCTTCTTCTTCATCTAGCTTCTTAGGGTAGAATTTCTGAGGATTGTAACAGTATGGTTATGGTGAACGAAATTTTGAAATAGGTCATTTTTTTAAGATTTGTATGGGGCGAAAGGGTTAAGGGATACATAGGTTCTCCCTTTTCTATAAAGTATGGGGAGAAAGGTAACTGGTCTTTCTGCCTCATTATGCTGTGATAAAAGTTTGTGACTTCCCTCATGTTTTACCAGGGATTACTGAGACCTTGCATGTTATAACAGGGAGTTGGTGTCACGATGGACTCTGGTTTTCTCCTTCTCATCACATGACCAAAGATTGTAGATTGTCTCTTTCTGATGGGGGCAGTCAGTTCTCTTCGTGAGTCAGTTTTTTTCAAGACATCTTCATTACTTCTTTTTATCTGTTATCTGTTTAGGATGTTCTCATCATTCCTCGATAAAACCACACCTCCACAGCTTCCAAATAAGTTTTCACTCATTTACCGGCTGCCCATTATTCACTTCCATATATCAGAAATGCCTTGCAGAGTAAGTCTCTTTAGACAAAGGCTGTTGGAGTCAAACCATATACAGACCGGCGGAAGGCAAGGGGAAACCACCACTGTATTATCCCTAGTCAATCATGCCTCAGAATATTACGAATTCAGATAAAGACGTGAATGGGGATTCCAGTGGAATCACCTCGTCTGGTAGGGAGCATCATGTTCTACGGGTGATACCCGACCGTCATCCAGCTACTGTAGAAAAGGTAAATGGTAGAAACATCCTGAACTTGGTACATGTTATGTGAGAACACACGTACAAAACGGAAAGCTGGATAATATCAAGATGGAAATGAAGAGAATGAACATCAACATGTTAGGAATTATTGAAATGCGATGGCCAGGAGCAGGGGAAAAGTATTCAGATCAGCACATAATTTTTTACTCAGGTGGGAAGGAATATAGCAAGGGAGTTGGTATTATTTTAAATCCAAAGAACTCAAAAACTGTGAAAGGAATTTGGACAATATCAGATAGAGTACTATTAGTACAACTTCGCGGCAGACCGTTTGACATTGACTTAGTACAGATTTATGCCCCAACAGCAGATAGTTCAGAGGAAGATTCTGACTCATTTTATGACGAGTTAGACATGGCTGTTGATCAATGCAAAAATTGTCAAGTAACAATGGTACTTGAAAATTTGAACGCTAAAATAGGAAGTGAAAAAGTGTACGGAATAATGAGTGGCTATGGCCTAGGAGAAAAGAATGTGAGAGGTCACAGATTAATAGCATGGGCTGAGTCGCACAGTATGATAAAAGGTAATATCTGGTTTAAACACCATCCTCGAAGATTGTGGACTTGAAAAAGTCCTGGCGATATTGTCTGCAATCAAATTGATTATATTTTGATTTCAAGAAGATTCCGGAGCAGCTTAGTTGGAGCAAAATCTAGATCAGGAGCAGGCTGCTTTAGTGACCATGTTCCATTCGTAGGAAAAATTAGAATAAAACTAAAGTACATTAGAAAAACACCACAGAACATCAAGTTAAATTTAGGATTTCTTAGAACGTATAATGAAATTAAGGAACAGTGCAATGTCACTGTACAAAACCGGTATAATGCAATACAGATTATTGATGAACAGTGGGATATGTTGTGTGAGTCAGTTCAGCAGACATCAAAAAAGACAATCCCACCAACCCATAGAGTTGCAAAAAAGAAATGGATGTCAACCGACATTCTGCAGTGGATGGATGAAAGAAGGAAGAAAACGAATGATAAAGAAGAATACTCTAGAATACAAAAAGAAATAGTGAACAAATGCAAAGCGCCTAAAGAAGCCTGGCTGAATCAAATGTGTACAGAGATTGGGGAAAATCACAGGAAAGACTCACATTCCATGTACCAACAGATAATTATGTTAACAGGAAAGATGACACGTAACAGCAGTGGATGTTTCAAATCGAAAGATGGTAACTTATTAATGGGACATAGTAATATAATTAGCAGATGGACAGGGTATATAGGGGAATTGAATGATGATAATAGACCAGATGTAAAATGCAGACCAACAATGATAGTCCACCAAAAATGACTGCAGAAGTTGAGGATGCAATACATCATATGATGAAAGGAAAAGCACCCGGGCCAGACAACATCTCACTGGAAGAAGTTGAAGCACTGGGAGATTTTGGAACTAAAATAATAACTTAACTTTTAAATGATATTTATTATAGTGTGTATATTCTAAATTACCTTTTAAAATCCATGTTTATAGCTCTGCCAAAGAAACCAGGCACTTTAAAATGTGAACATCGCACAATAAGTCTTATGAGTCACTTGACTAAGATTCTACTGAGAATAATTATGAGAAGAAAAAGAAACAAAATTAAACCAGAGATCAGTGATAAACAATGTGGATTTGTAGAAGGAAAAGGTACCAACAATGCCATATACATCTTAAGGACATTGTCAGAAAGAGCTATAGAAGTAAAGACTGATTTGTACATATGCTTCATAGACTATACAAAAGCATTTGACTGTGTGAAGCAGGAAGAAGTAATCAAACTGTTAGAAAAATTAAACATTGATGGGAAAGATCTACGAATAATAAAGAATATGTATTGGCAGCAAACAGCAGCTATAAGAATTAACAGCTGTTAAGGTACATTCTAAAGCATAAAGAGGGGCGAACGACAAAGATGTGTACTATCACCTAATTTGTTTTCAATATACAGTGACTATATTATGAGATCTTTAATTGACATGCCAGGAATTGTGATTGGTGGGCACAATGTAAACAATTTACGTTATGCTGATGACACAGTCTTGATAACAAGTCAGAAAGAACTACAGGAAATGATAGACATTGTGGTGTTAGAAAGTGGAAGAATGGGCCTCAGTTTAAATAACGTGAAGACAGAAGTAATGGTGGAATCAAAGAAACAAATTATTCCTAAATGTGTAATAAAGGTCGATGGTGTTATTTTAGGACATGTACAAAAATATAAGTATCTGGGCACATGGATAACATCAGATGGGAGATGCATAACTGAGATAAGAAACAGAATAGGACAGGCAAAAACTGCATTTTATAAAATGAATATCTTGTGCAATATATCCTTGTCATTAAGAGTTAGAAAAAGAATTCTTGCTTGCTTCATACACCCAGTTTTAACATATGGCTGTGAATCGTGGACAATCGGTAGGCAGGCCAAACAATTTCTTGAAGCCTCAGAGATGTGGTTTTACAGAAGAATGCTTAGAAAACCTTGGACAGCCAAAAAGAGCAACCAAGAGGTTTTGAAAGAGGCGGGAACCCGAAGACAACTAATCACAGACATCAGAAGGAGACAGTCATCATTTTTCGGCCATGTTATGAGAAGAAGAATAATAGAACATGTTGTGACCACTAGAAAGATTTGTGGAAGGAGGAATAGAGAAACACAACGAGAGAAGATTCTTGACAGTCTTGTTGCATGGCATGGAGGTGTGTCGGCACACGAACTGATACATGCTGCAGGAGATCGCAGATTATGGAGAGGCATGATCACCCACGCCAGTCGGCAAGGCACCTGATGATGATGATATCAGAAAAGAATTTTAAGAATTTTTTTCTCGTTTCACTTGACAAAGAAATATTGCATTAAATATTCTTCATTTTGTAAAATGCTGCCTTTGCTTTTTTAAGCATCTTCCACCTGATGTTGCCAGGGTGCCCACATATTTTCAGTTTGCTTGAGATTTGTCCCATTGACTTTGATGTTGTATTTTAGAGGGTCAGTTTTCTTTGTAATTACTAATACTTCTGTTTTTCTGCTGTTCTGACTAAGACCCATATTTTCACTTACCGTTATGATAGTATCCATAATTGCTTGCAGTTATTTTTCATTGTCAGCGATCAAAACTATATCATCAACATATCACAGGTTGTTAACATTATGCCCACCACCTGATATTCCTGGCATACCATATATGGATCTAATCATCATTTCACTATACAAATTGAGTAAATCAGGTGATAGTACACATCCCTGTATAATGCCTTGTTTATTGATTATAATAATGTTTTTTTTTCTTTGTGTTCACAAGCTGTAAACTCTGGTGGAAAGTTCTGGTTGTTCGTCCACTTCTGGACTGCAGTCCTTTCCAGAACCTGAGTGTTGCGTGTGCATCCGTTTGATAGATCTGACACATTTGTATGCAGACTGTTGGTTCCTTGCTTCTCAGGCAGATGCACTCCGACTTCGAAGGAAGCTCTCAATCAGTCGACTCTTACGACATGCTTTTGGGCAGGCAGTGGGTCTATTCTTGTTTTCCCTATGATAGGGCCCCGGAACCCACATGGGGGCATAATAATGTAATAATCTGGACTTTGTAACAAACACATTGTCTCCAACTGTTGAAGAATGTTAAAGTCGTATCAAAGTTAGATCATTTGCCTTCGAAACAAACAAACAATGCATGACAATCCCCGCACATTTTCTTGCAGAAACACAATGGCTCTGATGCAGTGCTGTGTATGTATTGTCTGAGAGTGTTCCACATCAGATTTGTCAACCAGGGCTGGGGTCAGACAAATGTTTTCTACAACCATCTCATGAAGCATCAGGTTGGTATCAGATTTTGTTTTTATTGGTAAGTGGAAGATATTCCTGCATGATTGCTTTTCTCTTCTCCCTTCTTCCATACATTCTCAGATGTCGGGGTAAAAACCATGAAAAATAGTAGCTGATCTGATATAAAGTCCTTCTGACTTGGTTCTTCTGCAGCTTTTCATGTGTTTGTATGGACTAACACATTTTATTTCTTCTTCTCGCAGACATAGTGAGAAGAAGAAAAAAAAACAGGAACTGTTTTGACACTATTTCTGAAGGTTATTGAAAGTCAAGAATCCTTTTATCATACTGGAGTATAGTGCTAGAGCCATGGACGCTCAGTGTCATGCCAGTATCTGACTTCACAGAACATTTTCTGGTCCGGTTTTAACCCTAGGTCAGTGTTATAAACCTGCCTTGATGCGGACTTGAACCCAAGACCTTTGCTCTAGCAGGCAAGCATCTGACACTGAAGTAATGCTACCGCCATGTTTCTGTTCTGCACAGATACTCCCAGTCAGCACCAATAGCAATAGTAATGATGACTGTGCTGTATAAAACAAGCCTCAGTGTGATCAGTAATTTAGAGATGATATAATTTCCTTTTGTGTGATAAATGGCACGTCACTAGAATCTTGTCAGATATCACTTTATCACTATATGCAGTCCAGAGTTCGTATTTTATTGTTTGTGTCTCTTTGTCTTACATTGTGAATCTCATCTCCTTACATTAAAGTCCTCTTTGTCTTACATTGTGAATCTCATCTCCTTACATTAAAGTCCTCTTTGTCTTACATTGGGAATCTCATCTCCTTACATTAAAGCCCTCTCTGTTTCAAGAATGGTCTGGATGCTTCTTGTGCTGACGAATCTCCTTTCTGCAGGTGAAAAACTCATGCAAGAAATGTCAGCAGTGTAGACTGGTGTTCCTGAATCTTGGGGATGTGAAGATGCATAGGAAACTAGACCATTTGCCGAACCAGAAAGGTGTTATAGGTATGTTTCAGGTATACTTTAATGAGTGTGTTTGAATAGACAGTCCATTTGTGAAGTACATTTTCCATTTGATGATAATTGTGTCGGCACACGAACTGATACATGCTGCAGGGGATTGCAGATTATGGAGAGGCATGATCGCCCATGCCAGTCGGCAAGGCACCTGATGATGATAACCTGACATATTTCCTTTTTTGTTTTCTGTGATATCTTGTATGCCATACTGGTTAAAATATTATCTTTGCTAAATTGACAGGATTAGAGGGCTTAACTGCTACTTCCCACTTTTACTTGACCTAACACTATAGTTTCTATTCTGTTTAAATGACCCGTGTTCTGCTTATATGTAAGTATTAGTTGTCAGATAATGTTTTTTTTATGCTTTTGTAGTTTTGTTGCCTGGATTTTTTTCACTGATAAAGTCAGGCCAAATCGTTAAATTTTTAAATTCTGTTGTCTGAGGCCCATTGTTTTTTTTTTCTATTCTTCATCTTCAAATGGATATAAGGTCTTCAGTCAACTTGTGGCATCTCATCTTGTTCTTTACCATCATGTGCAACTCCTAATCTTTTTCACCGGTTAGTTTTCCTCTTCTCCTTGTTTTGTGTGTGTGTGGGTCTCCCTTATAAAGGTTTTGCAGTGCAAGGACGCTCTGGTGATATTATCGGGTATTCTTTGTGCTAGAATTCAGAAAGATCAAATACCATCACAGGCACTACATCTCAGATCAGCTGCAAGAGTAAGAGGACGGCCACGAAAAATGGATTGACAACATTAAAGACATTTTACACCTTCACCGCATGACAGTAGCCAGTGGCAGCGAGCATGCACTGGATCGCTGATTATTCCTCCTCATGACACTTAACTGCAGAGGTGATTTATGATGATGATGATTCTTTGTGCTCCCTAGAGATATTCATTTATCATCTATGTGAAGTGATATCTGGAAGTTTGTCTTGGACATTATATATAATAATGCTATAACAGAATGCTGTGCTCCTCTTCATTACATGTCAAAAGTGGGGTCGGCCATATTTAAACTACTGTGTTTGTCTACACTGTGGTGTCACTTGCTTAACACTCTTATACATCTCATTACAACAGTATTGATAGGTGACAAGACAGTGGCATGGTTCATGTGATTTCTGTAACACTTTTTAGTTTTCATTTGACGCCCCTTCGTACATGATATACTTTTGTACTTGTTATTGCTAGCTGATTCCTATCCCAGTCACATATTGTTTGAGAGCATTATTGTGACTGCATTGCGTTCTCACGCAGTAGTTAAGAGTATTTACTGGATGTATGTTAAATGATTATTGTATATTTATAGGGTAAGTTTATTGCATGTTAAAATGCTAGGTACATTGTGTTACTGTATATACAAAAAGATGGTGGGGGGGGGGGGGCAGTTTAGATGTCAGTAACAGTGAGAATCAGGAAATATTTGTATTTAATTATGCATGAAGTACTAGTAGAGATCTGAGAACTTGAGTAGGTGTATTACGTGCAGATCTGACAATAATTATTTGTTAGTAGATTGTGGAAACTGAAAATTGTTAGTTTTTATATCTATGTGTCTTTCATACTTGTTGTATGTTAAATTCCCTTAGCTATCACATGTCACATACCGCGCGTGTCGCATGCCTGTTTTAAGGATTTCTCCTTAAGAACAAACAGCACTCTGAAATAGAACAATGTTGTGTCTGCTCGTATTGGTCTAAAGGGTATCCCATGGCCAATATACACCCAACCTATTTCAGGAGTAGGGCAACTCAAGTTATGGCACTACAGAATATATAATAATCCTAGGCGCAACTTGGCTGGACGCCCCCACTACTATAAAAAGATAGCCCCCAGGCTATGATATTGTAATACCACAGCCATGTTAACATAGATTAAGATTAATGATCACACATACATAAAAGCTAGACAGTTTGAACAGTGAATGAAAACTTCCAAAGGGATGTAAAAAATGCAACCCATATATATCATCAAGACAATCTAAGATGCTCTCAGGCAATTAGAGCTCAGGAAACAAAGTCTAAAAAGTACTGCTGAATCAGCCAGAGTCAGTCGTTGAGAGTATCAGTGATCATCATCATGTCTTCAGGTGGACCTGTGAAAAGAGCATGAGGTATATGATCACTGCTGTACTTATCAAGTTTGGTGAATGTCACTGCTCTCCTCAGTCCTTGGTGATCTAAACAGGCTGACTCGGGTAGACTGCTTTTCTTACTGGTTACCCTGGCAAACACTGACAGAGTTCATTCACTGGAGCTTGACAAAGCTCCTGAGGATGATTCTACTTGATGGATAACAAATGGGGTGCCTGCAACAATTGCCTCTTAGCCACTGGAGGAGTTGTGGTAGTATTAGGCAATATTGGTGGATGGTGGTTGGTTGGACTGTTGATCGTCTGCCTGACTTCCAGGGAGGTATCATCCTGTGTCAGGAAGGAACTTAGAATTAGTATTCATATCAGGAGTCACATACCAAGCTCAATTTATTTCCCTCTACCCTTCTCAGTCACTCAGAGGATAGCTCTCAGGATAATGAGACAGTTAGATCTTCATTTATCTCTGTCTGTCAGTCAGTACAAGAGATAGGATACAAGGTCCATAGTGGAGATAGATAGACACTAGTACACATAGGACATCCTCCCTCTACATTCCCATCTGCATTTGTAGACACACATTCCATCTAGTTCTTACATGTATATTTTACCTCTACAGTCTGACCATAGCTGACACTGTGTTGTTGTGTCTGCTAAAAATAATCTCTGATGTCACAGTGTCTCGTTCGCTGTAGTTTGACCCAGTTAAATCTGCCGGTTATATCGACCTGAATCTCTGCCAGTTCGTTAAAGAATAATTAGCCCGCTAGATTTAAAATATTTACAATAATATGGGGTCAGGTAGGACACAGACTATCAACCTGTAAAGGGAAAGGTTTGGTTTAAGTGGCTGTGGGTACTTGGACACCAAGAACGGTCTTGTTCTGCGATGTTTCATAGCTGAATCTTTCCTCCTTGCGGCAGCGGTTAACTTCATAGAGACATATATTATGGTACTCTCGCAAACTTATAATCAGCTTACCCAAGCTTTATTAAATGTCCTAGACACAAAAGGCCGCCTCCTCAAAACATAGATATTCGAGGCACATTTAAGAACATCAGTTCTTCTTGCCAGTCAGACAGAGAATGAGGCGGTAAGCTAGGCGTCCTTTTAAAGAAAGTAGCCCGCAAGATTAATGCGCCAAGGAGTAAAAAAGGCTTCTCGGAATTTTGAATATTAATCCAGAAATATATATCCCAAAATTGTAAGCTTGAAAATGTAGACTTTTCAAGACAACTAGAGTTTATAGAAATACCTATTACGCCAGATAGAGGTATAAATAGATATGAGGGACTATATACCCACCGGACGGGTCTATATTTGAAATGTGACCTGCCCGCTAGGGGCGCCAACGTCTCGAATAGTCGAATGTGCAGAGGTGAGTTGGATCACTTCACGAATTCACACTTAAAGAAACTTTCTACCCCCTTTGTTGGAAACAAAAGAATAACTTACTCCCCCCTCCCCATGTTAAAAAAAGACTACTAATTAGAGGTGTTCCTTTGAAGTCACAAGTGTATCTGCCTGAGAGGCAAAGAACTATCATCCTGTATACAAATAAGCCAGATCTGTTCTTCAGGTTCTGAAACAAGACTCAAGTCTAAAAGTAGACAACCAGAACTTTCTGCAGGAGTTTACAGCCGGTGAATATGAAGAAAACACTTTCTTCTTCTCCCTTTTTTGCCTGAGCTACAGCAGTTTAATGAGGATTTGACGTAATGTATAAAAAGAAAAAGTGAACATATTCATGCGGTCCTACTTATTGTTCATGTATTCGCACTTATCGATACTTTTGTCTAACAGGCATGAATGCTAAATATACTACCCCTGACCAAGTCATGATCAAAGTGACAGAGAAGACAGACTTGTCGCTGGCAGTAGGAGGTGTCAAATCACTGAATGTGCCAGCAGTCAAGAAAATCATGGAGCATCGTCTGAGCTTCCCTCCCATTGTTTCCACTATGACATGCATTGAGTGTCAGACATTAATGGGTATTCCAGATCATTATAGGTGAGCTTGTGGCACACGTCTTCCATGTTTAAATAAAAGTTAGTTAAGATACTCAGCTCTGCTGATACAGAAACCATAAAATCTTGAGCTGAAAATGGGACATCCCACTATAATTTTTGTTTCTAGGTCACTGGAGTGAAACAGTTAATTACTTGCTGGACAATGGTTTTGAAAGCCAAACCCATTGTCACCAGCAAATAAAAGAAAACTGTCTGCTCTTTAATTGTAATGAAAAACATGCATGGTAAAAAATCCCATCAGCACATTTCAAGCATTGAAGGTATAACTAAAACTGTAAAAGGTGATAAGATGTATGGATATAACTATGTTCTGTTCTTAACCTTATTTATAGATTTTTTATAAATTGTTTTGGAGTACCCACTAGACCAACAGGGTTTAACTAAAGAAATGGAACTGTCTCTGTGAAAATGGGATGCATGATCACTCTACCTATGCTGCATATGTTCCTTAACACACAACAAACAACAGAAGAAAAGAAGATAAGAAAGAGTGAAGAGAAAGTTTTTTAAAAAAATTTCTAAGATCCAAAGATGGAAACAAAGATTTGTAGTCACAGCAGATCTGAATACATAAATGTCATGTCATCTTTCCAACAGGAAATTCATCCAGTGCTCCATGTGCAGATTTGCTACAAGCTGCTCATTTGCATACTCCAATCACATGATGGGATTTCATTCAGGCCAGATGACGGCTGCTGCATCGCATACACCTGACGAGTCCAAACTGGAGGCCAAGCTCTATTGTTCCTGTGGTTTTGTCAGCAATTATGGGAACCGAATTGGTTGGTTGCTTCTGCTTCATTTTACTCCTACATGATAGAGCATTTCAATTAGGCTATGCATTTTTCTGTCATTTTCAGCTTTTGCACTTTCAAGTCAGAGGGGAATTAATTTAAAGAGCATCTAAAGTCAGGATACACTGAGTTTGATCCTGTATGACTCAGTCTTCCTCTGAAAAGCATCTTGTCGCCGGCTGAGAATCTTGCACAAAATGCACATTATGTAACTCCCATAGTGACCATAGGGATCTCCAAAATATATGCACTTGTGAACCGAACAGTGGAGTCTCAGGCAGAATCTACAGCCTTCAGTCCGTGGGGCAATTGGCTTTTTTGGATCTTCACCATGAGAATGATGACTGGAGTAATCACTATGGTTTTAAGATTAATTTTATATGTCTGTTGGTCGCAGGTCTGAATTGGTCGCAGTTCTAAATTAATTCAGGAGTAAATGATGAATCACACAAAAGAGGCTTTGCTTTGTGTACATCTGCTCTCTCTCTCTGTCTCTCACTTTCTCTTTCTCTCTGTGTGTGTGTGTGTGTGTGTGTGGGGGGGGGGGTGGTTTAAAGTGTAGCTAGAAAATGTTTGTATCTGTCTATCATCATATACGTTAGAAATTCAATTCAATAGTGCACTAAAAATCATGCCAAAATACTTATCTGTAATAACTGTTAATGAGTGATTTGTTCCATTCATTGCAGACTTTAGGAGATTTACCCGGCTTTGCTTTACCTGTGTAGTTATTTCTGCAAAATATAGGTGGCAGGCACTGTAGCAAATGTAGCAAACAAACAAACACACTTTTTTCTTCAAAGGGTCACAAATTGGGCACACAGGCCCGTCTTACATTCGGGCCTTCCAAACACAGCAGTTGTATTTTATTAATCAAGCCTTAGAACCAGTTTTGAAATCACCACTCAGGATTAGTATTCTCTCCCCACGTGGGTTCAACTGACCCTTAAGAAGCATAATGAAAATGGCGACTGAGGGGATTGCTGGAATTAGGTGTGCTGGAGCACAAGTTGCATATCAGTCACAACTGTAAACCACACTACAATCTGCCAACTGCCACATTAAGGATGACATCACAAGAAGTACTGTCTAATGTCTATTTCAGTCTGTCGTGCCTGTCAGAGCCAGCTGCGTTAAAAAAAATGCAGAACAAAACAGTTCATTCAAAGAACTTTTAGTAGGAGTAAAATAAATGAACACATTGTTTAAATGTCTGTCACACTGTGATTGTATATCCTACTTGCAGCCAACCACTTGGTGTTTTGTTCCAAGAGCTCCTGTTTCAAAGATCCCCCACCTCCATGTGCGGCTGATGAATTTGGTGAGTTATTTCTTGGCTTATTTTCTTCTGTAACTGAGACAGAAGTTTGTAGGGGGAATGGTATAACTTTGATGGATTTGTTTGGTCAGTCTGTTTTTCACTCACTCATTCTGTAACTGGGACAGAAGTTTGTAATGGGAAAGGTGTACATCTGATGGGTTGGGTCAGTTTGGTTTGTCACTCATCCATTCTGTAACTGGGACAGAAGTTTGTAATGGGAAAGGTGTACATCTGATGGGTTGAGTCAGTTTGGTTTGTCACTCATCCATTCTGTAACTGTGACAGAAGTTGATATTAGGAATAGTGTGTGTCTGATGGGTTGGGTCAGTTTGGTTTGTCACTCATCCATTCTGTAACTGGGACAGAAGTTTATATTGAGAACAGTGTGCCTAAAAAATGAGATCAGTGGTTGGTCTATGAAATGAAAATGAGACTGTGTATTAGTAATGACACAGTGCATTATAATTCCTCTGTTTTTGTTCTGTGGACCCATTTTGGGGGTTAAAAAAAAAAGACCCACTACCCCTTATCAAACACATTATAAAAGGTAACTAATTAAGGGCTTGCTGAAAGGTGCAGATATCCCAACCTAGCTGTAAAACACAACATGCCAACTTAGTTTTCAAGGGTGAACACAGAAGTAGAAGAAGACATGAAAACTAGGAGAACAGAGGTTTAATACAATTTTAAAAAAAAAAAAAAACCAAACTGTATGTTAGTGAAAACTGATTATATCAGTGAGAAAAATGTACCTGTAACAATCAGTAGAGAAATTTGTGACAATTAGGACAGAAGTTTTGCAGCTGTAAGAGCAGAAGTTTGTAACTTTGAGATAGACCTGTGTAAATTTGCCTGCATCAGTAAGAAAAGTATAAATGTACTGATATCTCTAAGTATGTCAGATCACTGTTTAGCCCTAATGCACCTGTGTTTGTGCAGGGGATCAGTATATATGGTACTGATATTTGTCTCAGGTTCTACTGTTCTTGGACAAATACATAACCTACCAAATCAAGGTACAGACTCACCACAGGCAAAATAACTTGAGTTAAACAGGCAGCCGTAACACTCTGACCTAGGCAGTTCCTCCATATGTGATTGGATATTCTTGTATAGTAGTCAGAATGTCATGTGTTTTTTTTATATCTTAATCTTATGTTTAGTCAGATATTCAAGGAACACCAAAGCTTACATTATCAAGAGCTATCCTGCATAAAATTAACACCTGTGAAATGAGATACCTGAGAAAAGCCGCTAACTTAACCATCTGAGAGAAAGTTAGAAATGATATCAGACAGACTGTAGGAACAACACCATACAGCAAATTCATTGAGAAACAGAAAATCAAATGGTTTGGTCAGTGAGTAAGAAGGCAGCCAGAACAACTACCGATGCAGGCGCTGCACATCTGAAGATCTGAAGTGAAAGCAAGAGACCACCCTAGAAGAACATGGATTGATGACAGTAAAGAGCTTCTACATCGACACAGAATGACAGTAGTCAGTACTGCCTATCAAGCAATGGATCGCAAACGGTTCCTCCCCCAATGCTTAACAGCTGAAGTGTAAATTGATGAAGATGACCATAGCTTAATCCTAATGGTGTTGTGTATTTGGCCCTAATAGAAGTGGTACATCCATAAGTTTAGTGTTATTCTAGCTTCCTTCTGATGTCGGATATATTCTTTTAGGACCAAAAAAAGTATGTATTATGGGGCTGGTAAATAGTACCCCTGTGCAGGTTTCAGGATGCCAATTGGGAAAGGGGGAGGGGGGGGAGGAGGAGGAAGATAGACAACCCCTCCCCCCATGTCATTTAAGTCAACTAATTAGCAGCGTTTTCTTTGAAATAAGCGTGCATCTACCTGAGAGGTGGGGAGCCAAAAGCATTCATAGAGAAAAGTCAAATCTGTGAAGTGATGTGGGCATGCACAACACAAGTTCTGAAACAAGACCAAAGTCCACAAGTAAAGGAACAACTGTAATTTCCTGCTGGAGTCTACAGCTGGTGAATGCCAAGAAGAAACAGATAACACAATAAATTATGTCCTGTATAAAGCACTTATTCATTGTAACTGTACTGGGGGTGGGTGTTTGTGGTGAAGTCTCAAGCCGTTTGCTTCACACTCTGAAGTTTGCGGGTTCGCCTCATGGCGGCTCCGTTCAGTTCACAAGTGCAATTTTACGAAGACCCCTAGGGATTTTCACCGAAGCTACAGATGCTATGCTGTGTGCGATGCTTTTGGCAGGCAGCTAGCTGTTCTGAGGAGAGGGACAGCCATATGGGATAAAACCTGAGACAATGAAGTCCAATCTCTTATCTTTACCTTTACCTTACTGATTCATTGGAAGACATCACTGTTTTTGTTTCCTTCCCCTCATCTTTAGGACAGGAGCTCCAAGACCCACGGAAAAAGCCAGATGCCTCTTTACTGGACGTTCTAGGGTTGATTAAGAAAGATTCCCTGACACCGTTAAATTCAAGTAAGTTTCTGTTGGCAGCATTTGTAGGCAGGGCTTCAATACTCAGTCTATGTAAAACTGTAAGCAGTATTAGGCAGTTATCTTGGATTCAGCAGCTACTGTGAGCAGTTGCCATATACAGTTCTGTTGTACTTGTACAGTTTTACCTCTACCCTGTACAGTCCCTGTGTATCTCTACCCTGTACAGTCCCTGTGTACCTCTACCCTGTACAGTCCCTGTATGCCTCTACCCTGTACAGTCCCTGTGTACCTCTACCCTGTACAGTCCCTGTATGCCTCTACCCTGTACAGTCCCTGTGTACCTCTACCCTGTACAGTCCCTGTGTATCTCTACCCTGTACAGTCCCTGTGTAGCTCTACCCTGTACAGTCCCTGTGTATCTCTACCCTGTACAGTCCCTGTGTACCTCTACCCTGTACAGTCCCTGTGTACCTCTACCCTGTACAGTCCCTGTGTACCTCTACCCTGTACAGTCCCTGTGTACCTCTACCCTGTACAGTTCCTGTGTACCTCTACCCTGTACAGTCCCTGTGTACCTCTACCCTGTACAGTCCCTGTGTACCTCTACCCTGTACAGTCCCTGTGTACCTCTACCCTGTACAGTCCCTGTGTACCTCTACCCTGTACAGTCCCTGTGTACCTCTACCCTGTACAGTCCCTGTGTACCTCTACCCTGTACAGTCCCTGTGTACCTCTACCCTGTACAGTCCCTGTGTATCTCTACCCTGTACAGTCCCTGTGTATCTCTACCCTGTACAGTCCCTGGGTACTTCTACTCTACACAGTTCCTGTGTACCAGTATAGTATATACCTCTACCTTGTACACTTCCTGGGTACCATTAGTTTTCCTCTTCGCATAGTACTGCAACTCAGTAACCATTTGGTGTAAACTGTTGAAATTTGGCATGCAATCTGTTAATAATCATGTCCTTGTAGAAAAATAGTTATAATATAAGCAATTTAGATTTTCTTTTGCCTTATTGGTAGTAAATGACAAAAAAGTCACTTATTCAGTGCATACCCATCACATGTAAACAATAAATGGACTGATGCAAACTTGACAAAACATCACATTGCCAGCATTTTCTAGGTAATCTGTGTGAAAATAACGTGCACTCATTTTAAACCGTGACATGGATACGTCATGTACTGTGTACTGCCACAATGCTTGTAGATTAGCTCATGAAAAGTAAAACATTTGTGTCAGTTACTGTATATATATATATATATATATATATATATATATATATATAATATATATATATATATATATATATATATATATATATATATATATATGTGTGTGTGTGTGTGTGTGTGTGTGTATATTTTTTAAAATATTTTATTTAAAAAAAAATGGTGCACAGATTATTATTCCAACAAAGATCAAAGTAATTTGCCTGTGTAAGAAAATAGCATCAGCTGTGCAGTTGTAAATGATGAAATCATGTGGACATTGGAAATCAAAGACATGCAAATGTGTGTTGATCCTTATAGAAGTTTTCGAGATGTTTGTGAAAGTTTAAGGGCATAACTTTTGGAATAGACTAGTTTTCCATGTCTAACAGGCCCGGGGGTGTTGCCTATAGTAGTCAAGTGGCTAGACATTTAGCTGTCAACCTAAAGACCTTATATTCGGCTCCATATCAAAACAGCTATATACATGATTTGGTAATTCTCGGTGTTTGTTTCTTCTTTCAGGGACCCCTCATCTGGACTCTCCGCCATCAGAGCCTGTTGAAATGCCTGATGTGTCACTATCATCCAAACTAGGAAAAAAGCCATTGCTGCTCCGAGATTCTTTAAAGAAAGCTTTCAAGAGCATGTTTAAAGTAAGTTTGACCATAAGCTTTATTGCTCTACTCCAGTTGGCCTAACTTGCCATTAAAATATTTCTTATGCACTGTACTGCTAGTATCCATGAGATATCTTACTTTAATGTCTAGTGTGTCCTTCTGTCTTTCTACTTTTTTCTATCAGTGAAGTAAAGTAAAGGACCCTGTTCCACGCCTTTAGGCATATAGGGCATAAAGAGCTAGACCTATATTTTATAGACCAACGGTACAAGATGGGTGATGTGGTCAGCATCATGCCGGCCGCCTCTACTTCCCGGTACCCACTCAAGGCTGGGTCCTGGGAGCCAAGGTCATTTTTGAAGAGAAGTCCGGCTCCGCCAGGGAGTGAACCCACAACCTTCCGATCCGCGGCACGAGTCTAGCTGCTTTTCTATAAGTGCCGATCAGTACATTGTGCCCCATATTGCTAGTATCCATGAGATATCTTACTTTAATGTTTAGTGTGTCCTTTTGTCTTTCTGCTTATTTCTATGAGTGCTGATCAGTACATTGTGCCCCATATTGCTAGTATCCATGAGATATCTTACTTTAATGTCTAGTGTGTCCTTTTGTCTTTCTACTTATTTCTATGAGTGCTGATCAGTACATTGTGCCCCATATTGCTAGTATCCATGAGATATCTTACTTTAATGTCTAGTGTGTCCTTTTGTCTTTCTACTTATTTCTATGAGTGCTGATCAGTACATTCAGGGTTCGTAGTGGACTGGGAAATCGGGAAATTACCGGGATTTTTTTAGTTGACCTTGAACAGTGATTTTTAGCTTATAAAAGACATTCCGACCTTGAAAGCCGTGAATTTTGACCGCCGCAATGAAATCGTCAGAAATCCTGTGATTTTCAGCACAGGCAATTTTTGGGGAGCCCTTTGTCTTTTTTGGCCATTTGGCTAGTTTTTGGCTACTTTCGTTGTATGGTCGTTTTAGGTGTGAGGGCAGCTGATTATTGGCTATTTTCAGCCGAAATGGCTTGTTAAAGGCCAGGGAAGGGCGGGCTGTGTTGTAGATCATGAATACATGCAGACAGCAGCGGTGTGGCATGGGGCGAGAAGTAGCAGCTTCTGTCTCGCGAGTGTGTGTGCCTTTGTTTCTAGCGAGTCGGGCAGAATGAACAGTATAAATCGTTTATGGCCGTGGTTTCTAGAAATGATTACATTGGGAGATGGTGGGGCTCGGTTCAGTTGTATTTATAAATAGAGTCGCCGTGGTGTGGGCTAATCACGGCCTTCTCTAATAATTAGAGATGGCATTGGGGCTAAGCAAAGTGACTGCAGCTGGATTTCCCAGTTCTATTTTGGGCCTGGATTTATCTTTACAGTGTGTTTGGCAATCAGTATTGTAATTCCCCGAGATTCCCTCTTCTGTTGTCTCACCCCTCTCTCTCTCTTCCCTCCCTCTTTCACTCTTCTACCTATTGCTCCTTCCTTCCCGTCTCCTGCATTGTATCTAACCCTCCCTTCTGATCTTCATCTTCTTCTCTTTCTCTCTATCTTTCCTTTTACTCTCTCATTTCCTGTTCCCCCTCCCCCTTTTTCCTATTTTATTTCTTGTTTAAATGTTTAGTAAATGTGCGGCTCCATAACTCTTCCTAGCAACTCAAGTACACAGGAAGTTGTATTTAGGGGGGGGGGGGGTCGTTCAGCGTGAACATAGTGGATATTGTCTTTTGATGTGTTTGTTTTCTTAGCGGCCTTAATCTCTGTCCATCTCCCTTCCCGCCCCCTCACATTTTGTCCTACCTGTTCCTCACTCTCTGCCTGTTTGTGTCACTGCTTTCCTCTCTCTCTTTCTCTTTGTTTTTGCCACTCTCCCTAACTCCCCCCGTCCCACTCCCTCTCTCTCTCTTTCTCCAGACCTTCAGTTGGCGTAGAAGGTTATGTGTTGCTTAGTGCAGAACATTTCATGTCCACCACTCCCCCTCCCTCACACACACATTAAATATATGTGTACTTTTAAAAACGTCACACACCCCCCCCCCCCCCACCCTTTCTCCTCCCACATTGATGACACATAGAGTGCACCCCTTCCTGCTACCTTCTTCCCTCTATATCTCATCTTATTTCTTACTCCCTTCTTTCTCTCCCTGTCTCATTCCCACTTTATTTTCTTAAACTTTATTCTCCCACGACCTCTGTCTCACCCTTACCACCTCAGCCTTCTACACCACTTTCCACCACCTCCTCTTTCCCCTCCTTTCTGTAATTGGAAAACCAGAAATAAAACGGAAGTCCACTGCTGCCTTGACCTATTTATGTGTGTGGGTAAACTTCTCTATTTTCCACCAGTGGTGGGTTGGGATCCCCTGAACTTTTTTTCTTCTTCATAAAATGACCTTGGCTCTCAGGTCACCAGCCTTAAGTGTAAGAAATTGAATTATTGTTGTCACACACAGATAGGACAAGCATGGGGCAGTAGGGGTTAGCACTGTTGTTTATGGATCATGGCCACATTCACATTGGGAGAGGGTAGGAACCGGGAAAAGTGGCCTCACTTAGATATGTCCTAATTCTATTTTTGGCGCTCAGTGTTCTTACCTCTCTTCTCTCACCCCTTCTCTTTCCTTTGATCTTCTACTATTCTCCTTTCTCTCTCCATTCTTCCTCTCTTCCTTTCCTTGCCCTTTCTCCTGTCCCATCTCTTCTTTGTCTCCTCTCCATCCTGTCTTTTCATTTTCTCTAGATTTCCTTACCCGCTCATTCTCCCCCCCCCCCTCCCCCCAATTTTTTCTGTTTCTGGTTCATCTACATATTTTTTTTGCCTCATAACTATCTTTTCCTAGTGGTTGTGTCCACTACACTTAAAATTGTGTGGGGGGAGTAGGTGGGGTTTCAGCACGAAGCTGTTTTTTTTTTTCTTTGATGTATCTTGTCTCCCTTCCTGCCCCTCTCTCTTAATCTGGGTTTGTCACTGCCTTCCTTACCCACCTCTCTCTCTCTCTCTCTCTCTCTCTCTCTCTCTCTCTCTCTCTCTCTCTCTCTCTCTCTCTCTTGCCTTATGTCTGTTTGCCTCCCTTCATCACTTCCTCTTTGTATACCTCCCTCCCATTCTCCTGCTCTGCCTTTTCTCTTTCTTTGGTTCTCCCCCTCTGGCTGCTTGCCTCTCTGTGCTGTCCCTTTGTCTCTCTTTCCTTTATGTCTACATCTCTCTCTGCTTGCATATGCTTCTCTCCCTGTCCGTTCTCTCTCCCTCTGTCTCCCTTCTTTCAAATATTTTGTCATATTTTCCTCCTTCCATATCTCTGTTTCGTTCCATTTTTCCTTCTCTTTTCATCTGCCCATCTCTGTATCTGCATTCCCTCTTTCTGTATTTGTCTCGCTCTCTGTCTTTCTCTGTCCCTTCCCCACTTTTCCTCATGTCTCCATCCCTCTCTCTCATTTTTTCCTCCTTCCCCAGACTTCTTTTCCTTCTTTTCTCTACCTTCATCTGTCCATCTTTACACTGTCTCTCCCAGCCTACCTCAGCATGTGTCTTCCTCCCTCTCTGCATGACTCTCTCTCTCTCTCCCCCTAACCCTTTCAGGTACCAAGTCCAGAACAGACAGGACTTCAGTTTGCTGCCCTCTACCACCAAGCCCTAAAAAAAAATTTCAAACACTATATCAAGCTCAGGGGCCGACCAACACGAAGATGGGCACAGGATATACATGACTCCTTGAGTATAAAAAAGTACATGAGGCGGGAGAGCTGGTGAGAGACCGAGGTTTTTTTGTCAGGACAAAGGAAATGCTACATGATGATGATATATATGCTGGTATACCAACATGTGTGGCACAAATGAAGTACATTGTGTGCTCAGTACACCCTTGAACAAGGCAAAAATCTTGTTTCAGTATTACACCGAGACAACCTTGAAAAAAACTAAGGAGACCTTGAAAAAGACCTTGAAAAGCCTTGAAATTGATTGGTAAATTTGGCTATGAACCCTGTACGTTGTCTGTTTATTTGATTGAGTGTTTCTGTATTGTGTGCAGGTTATGACGGTGTGTGTTAGGAAACAAACAGGTAGACTGCAAACTGTCTTGTGTTAGTTTCAATGGTGGTATCAAGAGCTGACCATTCAGAGTGCAATGGCAAACTATTGAAAGTAAAATTTGACTAGAAAAACCACAGCAGATAAAAATGCTGGGGTTGGTTCCGTAACGTCCTGTGAAGAATAAACAACTAACTTGTTAGCAGTCAGTGGATCTATTTTCCCCGCATATGTAGAATAATTGTTATTTTAACATTGTTTTGATTTGTAGGAATGCAGTTGTAATGTTACATATTTGTGGTATCTTTGCTTTCTTCACTTTCAGAGTGACAAAGACACAGACAAGAATATCTTTGAGAGGGTCAGATTTGGTGATAACAGTCTCATCACAGACAAACAGGGTGAGACTCTAAACCTATCAGGGCCCAAACAGGAGGATCTGAAGAAAGTGGGGCCACCAGTTACAGGGGAAGCCTCTACCAAAGATACAGATGGAGGTCAATCCAGTTCAGTGGTTAAGGAGGAAATGACTGCAGCAGAAACTACAGACAGAGATGAGATGGCCGTTGAAAGTTCGGATGTTGTACAGCAAAGTCATGGGGCAGAGACTTCACTGGCAAACCTGGCCAGAGAGAAAGAGAATGACTTTGCAGACAATAATCACAGTGGTGGAAGTGAATTCACTAATATAGATCATGTGCCAAGGGGAGAAACTCAGATTACAGATCCAGAAAACGAATCTGCAAAGATTGAAGACATGGAGATTGAATTTGCAAAGATTCATGACAGCAAAACTGAATCAGCACAGATTGATGACATGGTCAGTGAATCAGTTAAGACTGATATGGCAAGTAAATCAACGAAAGTTGATGACAAGGAAAGTGAATCAACGAAAGTTGATGACCTGGCTAGTGGATCAACGAAAGTTGATGACAAGGAAAGTGAATCAGCTAAAGTTCATGACAAGGAAAGTGAATTAACTAAAGTTCATGTCAAGGAAAGTGAATCTGCAGTG